TCAAAAGCTCGTGTTTTGCAGATACAAATTTTATTACTTAATTTTGAATTGTCGGTCTCAGCTGGTTTGGTCTACGTTATCAGCATTTGAACGTTCATCCTAATTAAAATCGAAATATGCATTTCGAAATATGCAGCCTATGATGCTTGTAAATCATACTATTTGTTGATTGTGCAATTTTTTTATACAATTGGTTAATTTCATTCTTGAACGATTGTGGTACAAGCTCAGCTTATTACAATAACGAAGAGATCAAATCAAGAATCTGAACTGACTCGGAAGGAAAGGAGCTATTTTTGTTTCTTGAGCAACCCAATTGGCACATTTGTTGTTTCTACCATGAATAAATGTCACTCGATTGTTTTGTTGAGTTTACAATATCATATGCTAATAATGTTGAAATGCTACCCATTTAAAAATCGTTACTATATATCCACACAATATCACAAAAGACCAGTACTTTGTATTATTACCAAACAAGGTAATTGTGGTCATTGCCCTCTCCAACTTGTTCTCGGGATCAATAATCGGTGGTTTCCTCCTGTCCAGCCTCTGCTCTCTCTACTACCCTACTCTTCCTCTGGAAATTAACAAACAAAATTAATACGAGAGACTGTATTTATGGGACTGATCTGCCTTCAAATTTAATGGGTTTCTGACACGTGTTTGCCCAATTTCATTTTCACCCATCTTCGTCTTCTTGTGTGTTTGGACCAAAAAAAAATCATGGGTCATCTGCATCATGATTAGTAGTTAATCCGGATTGGGGTTAGTCAAGGCATGATTGGGGATTGGCTGTTGTGTCCTGCTGTTGATCTGACTCGAATTAGATTATTTAACTATGACTAGATGTCACGAAGGTCTGATTATTTGTGGACAAACTAACATACATTATGTTAGATAATCACGTAAATGCGTGTGTTGTTTAGCCGAAGGAAAAAAAAAAGACGGTAGAAAATAAGGCAAAATTCATGAACATGATGATGATGGGATTTGAAGGTGGGGGAAAAAAGGTGGAGACTCTGCCATTTATGTGTAGAATAGGGACGAAATTAGGGCAAAGTCAAAAACTTGAGGAGGCAAAATAGGGCAACAGCATCATTACCAGAAATAAAAGGTCAGAATGTACACTTGCATTATTTTGTAAAAGAGTTGTTGTGGATCATGGATGGACCACGATGTAGGTGGGTTGCCCTAGCTGCCTGGGGTATGTCAAATTTGGTGTTTTTTTGCTAAGTTTTTTCCCCCCATTAGGAACTGATATGGTTAAATTGTGTTTTCGTACTTAACTATCGTGCAAGTGACGGTATGCGTCATCAAAGCAGTGTATGGTTAGTGGTGAAATCGATATGTGTTGTGATGATTGATGAGCTGTACATAAAGAACTATTGTAACTTTTCATAATCGATATTGCGTTTTGATTGAGCAGGAGTACTTGATGATCAACCATCTTGTTGTCTTGGGATGACTAAAGATCATGCGAGTGGATAAAGAAACAATGTCAGACCACACCGTGTATTGCAATTCTCTTGAAACGAGCCCACGTTTTGAGTGGGGAGGTGGCTTATAATCCACCATCTCGACATGCTTATATTACAACTTCTTACTAAATATCAAGATTCAAGAAGCTGGTGGGTGCTAAGCAGGCGTTCGGCACTGCCTGCCTATGGGTATTTGCAAAACATGACAAGGTTTAGTAGAAATAAGAATCCTATAGCTTGTTTTTACTTTAGTTCAATTTCTAACGTTGATAACTTAGCTAACCTTCAATAACAATCAAAATATGTATTGATATTGAATTGCACTTCCAAATCGAGAAATGAGTGAATGATGCGTTGATAATAAGGCAGTTGGAGATGGCGTCGCTTTAGGAAGATTAGCTACAATGCCTAAGTTTCGTTTGGACATTATGAATGCCTAATTTGTTGCTTAGGATCTAGGCGAGGCGTTTTTTCGCTACCCGGTGCCTAGACTGGCATAGACATACATGCTAGGGTAACTAATTGTAAAAATAGCTAGTTGCTTGCTACAATGTGGAATGTGGGTAGCAATGATGTAGAGGGAATATGATGGAAGATGGTGGATGTGGGATTTGGATATTTGAAGATAATCATAGTGGAGGGGAAAGAAAAAGATTTGTCCCTCATTATGGAAAAGTTTGTTAATCATAAGTTTTATGGAGGTTTGGCCGGTTTCGGGTAACAGTGCATTATTTTTGGGGTTGGGATTTTGCCTTTTTCCCCCATTCCCCCCATCCTATAGAGGGTTGTGTTCAAGTAGACCTTAATGCCCACGAAACCAAAAGTTATAGGTAGACACTTAAATGACAATTCCAGCATATACTAGATTTTAGGTTTGTTCTTTTTTAACAATATGCTACCCTCTATTATGGCTTTGGCCTATTGAACTCTTACCTTTTTCTCTATTTTAACTAGACTGAAAATTGTCATAGGGCATATCTACCTCTCAAATGGGAAATGGAGTGTGTTTATTTATCATCAAATTGCCTCTAGACTCTAGTCTCGCAAAACTTAACGCATCAATAGAACCAGTCTCTCTGACTTCGTCGATGAATTAAAACCAAGGAGTTGAACTTACATCGTCATCAGCTCCTCAAAAAGTCTAACGCCAGCCTTACAACCTAATACTTATGAATCTTGTGGTCGTTGAACAAAATATTACTGTGCTCTTTCAATCATCACAACTCCAAGTCCATTCAAATGATCTAATTGTTGTTCAGTAGATTTTCATCCTCTTTCATTCAACCTTGTTTCCTTTCAGGAAATCGATCGAATAACTTGTTACCTAATAAGTTCATTTGTATTTTCAACTCTAGATGTAGAGGGTTGTAGCTTTTTGTTACGGTTTGAATGGAGTTTGGCATCCTAGCTACTTTGCAAGGCCCATATCCAACATGCATAATGCATTGCTTTTTTACTCCTACATCAACAATTTGCTCTTTCTCCACTATTGTCGGTCATCCTCAACATATTTTTGTCGTGCTCAACCAACTTCTCTCTTCCCTAACAAATTTAACTCGACCTCTCTTACCCATTTTTTGAGTTTCTACTTTTCTCGATAAGACGACTCAGTCAATTCACTCATCCCATACCTATCATAAAAAGACGAGTGATCCATACGAGCACGAGGCAAGTTCCTAATTGACCATGTCGCACGACAATTCTACTAGTGCCAGGAGACGAAAACATCGCTTGTCCGACTCTTCTTATCTCAACCTCTCACGATCCAATTTGTGTGTTAAAAATATCCATACATACCAACCTTGTCCGAAATTTGCACTTGGTGGGTCTTTCTCGGTAATCTAGTTGTAGTCTTATTATGCCGCGACACCGATCTCCTTGAAGCCAACCCAGTTCAAAAACCTAGTGATGATATACAGCACAACTTGAAACACATCTCCTCTATTTACTCCTAACATTATAGTAATATAATTTGGCCTAGAAGGGAGTAAGACTAACAGTCTAACATAGGATATTTGTTACTTATGGCCTATGGGGGCTGAAGAAGAAGAAGAAGGAAGGAAGGAAGGAAGGAAGGAAGGAAAGGGACAGAATAGACATCCTCCCGGGAATACAGGGGATTCTGTACACCAACTCCCCCTCTCTTCCTGGATTTGCCTCCCCCATTCCCCTCACCCTAAATTGTTGTTTGTTGTATTAGTTTTGAATTCAAGCATTTCCCTTTTTCTCTTTGTCTCTGTTAAAAAAACAAGTCTTTTCTCTGTTCTCTCTCCTCTCTCCCTCTCTGTATTTTACTCATCTTCCTAATTGGTAAATGGGTGGCTGCTTGGACGTTATCATATTCATAATGATGATGTCCTGAACCAAATCATCATCACAGCTGAAAAAGAAAAAGTGCCTGTGGTTAGTTTGTCGACTCTCGTGGGTTTTCTGAGGCAGAGGCCAATGGCCGATTGCGATTTAACTGAGTTAGCATACAACTCGATTAGCGGTTTGTGGATTGTAACGATGTCGTCGAGATTTAATGCATATTCAATGACATAATCTAACAATGTATTCGCGCTTATGTCACGGGGGTAGTCAAGTTCATTGTTCACTATTATTAACATACAGCAAAACAAATGTCATCTTCAAGGGAAAAAAAAGTGGAAAAAGCAGAGCTGAATTGCAGAAGAGTAAATAATAAAGCTTCTGTCGAAAATTGCAAATGGGTGTCACTTTAATAATGAGGAGAGTAAGTAAGTAGCAGTAGTCTGAGATAGTCATTCATTCAATCTTTAGTGATGACCACCCAACTCCATCAATCTCTTTCTTGCTACTGTGCCTTTGTGCCAGCAGAACATCACCATCTCTCCCTCTCTCTCTCTCTGTCACAGAGCCATTGCAGGTTTGCTGCAGCAGCAGCAAGCAGCCACTGCTCTCTCTGCATTTGCATCTCACTTGTTTTTCATTTTTTTGCCAACATTATAAAACTAAAGGGCAAGAAAAGACAACAAAACCCAAATAGACTTTTCTTCAGAGAAAGCAAAAGAAGAGAGGGAGAGATAATAGAGGAATCTACGGTCATTCTCATGTACAAAGTTAATTTGGTCATTTAAATCCCACACAAATTAAAACCCTCTCCTCTTTTGCTTCTCCCCCTTCTCTTTCTCTCTGTTTGCAGGGGAGAAAAAGCTATACGATTTGATGTCTCAAGAAAGGGCTTATTAGACAAAAGAAAAGAGAGAGGGAGTGAAGAAGAGGAAAGGAAGAAAGAAAGAAAAGAAAAAAAAGAGAGGAAAACAATAAAAAGGTCCTTTCTTTTTGGCACTCTCTCTTCTTCTCACCCTTTCCCTTTTATTAGGCTAATGCCGAGCTTGCTCTGAAGAGATGCAGCCATGACCATCTTTCTCCTTCCCTTTCCCTTTCCCTTTCCCGGACTATGTTTTAACCGTTCCTCTGTTTCTTAAGAGCCGTGGAAGTAGGGGGTTTTCTTCTTCTGAGGCAGAGAAGTGTAAAGAGAGTTGCAGAAGAAAAAAAATGGTGGGTTTGATAGATCTCAACATGACGGAGGAAGAGGAACCGACGCCGTCTTCTCGGTCTCTGTTATCTTCATCTTCTTCGTCCTCTGCCTCCACTTTGAGCGCATCCAATGCCGCCGCTTCACCCCCTGTTTCGGTTTGCTTGGAGCTATGGCATGCCTGTGCTGGTCCACTGATATCTCTGCCCAAGAAAGGCAGCGTGGTTGTTTACTTGCCGCAGGGACACGTGGAGCAGCTCGCAGATTCTTCGCCGCCGCCGGCGGCGGCCTACGATCGGCTCCCTCCTCATGTCTTCTGCCGCGTCGTCGATGTCAAGCTCCATGTAAGAACTGCTCTGCTTCTAAAATTGAAAAAGGAAGGGGGGGGGGGGGGGGGGGGGGGGAACAAAAAGGGGGGAAATGAATTCATTTCTGTTCAGATTCTCTCTGTCTCCAGATTTTGGGGCTGCCGTGTTTTGAGTTCTGCTGGGGATTGAGGGTGACCCAAAATGTGGCTCTTTTTTGGGTGATTTCACCATTGGAGCTTTCTGGGAAATCGAAAGGGGGGGGGGGGGGGGGAATTTTTCGTGGGTTTGTTTCATAATCCGCAGGGATTATATGCTCCAGTTGGATTTCTTGATTTTTATGCTACTTTATAGTAATGTATAGTTATATGCTAATTTCAAAAAGAAATGATAATAATATGCTGGTCTTTGGCTTTATTAATTAATTTTTTCCTTGGGAGGAATGTTTTATGGTTGGGGTGGATTTTTAGTGGCAAAAGTGTGTCCTTTTGTTTTTGTTCTTTTGTTAATCTCCTTGGGGACTTGTTTTTTGCTTGGCTTGGCAGGCTGAGACTGCAACCGATGAAGTTTATGCACAGGTTTCTCTTGTTCCTGAGAATGAGGTAGGTGATTCTGGTCAATGTTCCTTCAGAACCCTTAATATGTGCTGATTGAGCTATTTATATGTATCAATCAATGTAGTTAAAGGGCAAAAGGTGGCTCATTTTCATATTCTGCTACGGTTGGTTCTTCTTAAGATTCATGCTAGGGTTCATGAAATTGTAAAGTTCCTCAGTTGTTCCAAGCTAAGTTCCTTTGAACCCCAAGTGCAGTGTAGGTTGGGCTGATTAAGCTATTGGTATTGATGTATCTAACACGGTGAAGATAGAGATGGCTCATTTTCATTTTCTAGTTGGTTGTTTAAAGATTCAGGACTAGAAACATATAATAATGTTAACGTGGTGTTACCAGAGTGAGGTTAAGTTGAGGAGAATTGAAGGGGAGGAAGATGGTGAACTTGTTGGCAAGGCTTCTACAACACCCCACATGTTCTGCAAGACCCTCACAGCTTCTGATACCAGCACTCATGGAGGCTTTTCAGTCCCTCGCCGAGCTGCTGAGGACTGCTTCCCTCCATTGGTACTAACACCTGTTGCCTTTCTTTCGGCCCAAGGCGTTTAGATATGAGGATTGCATAAGTTGAACTGAGTGGAAGTAAATGCTGGTTTGTAGGACTACACTCAGCAGAGGCCTTCGCAGGAGTTGGTGGCTAAGGATCTCCATGGCTTCGAGTGGAGGTTTCGCCATATCTATCGAGGTACTTGGGAAATAAATGAGATTTGTAAACTATGAGATTTTTCTTTGATTGAGATAATAATAGCCCCTAATGCTTTTTTTATTTTTTTATTTCGTTTTTGGTTTAGGGCAACCAAGGAGGCACTTGCTCACTACTGGGTGGAGCGCGTTTGTGAATAGGAAGAAGCTTGTTTCTGGTGATGCTGTTCTGTTTCTTAGGTGAGAAATTATAGTTTTTATTATTTTAGATGTCTAATTAATAAGCTCTTTCTTTTGGTAGAATATCATATGATTCAGTTGAGACATTGGTTTTCAGGGGTGAAGATGGTGAACTCAGGCTTGGTGTGAGGAGAGCAGCACAAGTGAAACCATCTTCTGCTGCTATGCCTGTTCTTTGTAGTCAGCTCCCAAATCATAGCAGCATTTCAGATGTTGCTAATGCTGTTGCTTTAAGGACTGTTTTCAATGTCTGCTACAACCCGAGGTAAACACACTGGACCTGTTCTTGTAGGACCTTGGTTCTTGCACGATTGATATTAATCTTTTTGATTCTTTGATTGGAAAGCTCTTTTTTTTTTTGTTGAAATTTTTCTTTTCTTCTTGGTTCTTCTAAAACCTGTTGCTGCATTTTTTAGGGTGAGCTCGTCGGAGTTTGTGATTCCACTGAACAAGTTCTTGAAGAGCCTTGACTACTCCTTCTGTGCTGGAATGAGATTTAAGATGCGATTTGAAACAGAAGATGCAGCTGAAAGAAGGTTTGTCCATAAAGCATGTGACTTGCACATATTTTGACTACAAACTTCCATTATATCCTGTTATTTTGATGAAGTTCCCTTTTTTGCCTTTCAGGTATTCTGGTATGATAACCGGGATCAGTGACCTGGACCCTGCTAGGTGGCCAGGATCAAAATGGAGATGCCTTATGGTAAGGTGGGATGATATGGAGGTGAATCGGCACAGCAGGGTGTCTCCATGGGAGATTGAGGCTTCTGGCTCAATATCCAGCAGCTGCCACAGCTTTCTGGGACCTGTTCTCAAAAGAACCAGGTCAGCATTGCCTTCATCAATGCCAGAATTCCCAGTTCCTGGTAAGTCATGAATGTGACTGAAGTACCATATGAACTAACAAATTGTATTTTTTTTTTATACATATTCACTGTTTGTTAAATACTACTTGCTATTTATAATACCAGATGGAATTGGGGCACCAGACTTTGGGGAATCTTCTTCTAGGTTCCATAAGGTCTTGCAAGGTCAAGAAATTTCAAGCTTCAACACCCGTTTTGATGCAGATCAAATGAGGTGTTTCCGTGGTCCTCCACCCGACATGTCCTACAAGAAAGGCATAGGCTTTGGTGAATCCCTTGGATTCCATAGGGTCTTGCAAGGTCAAGAAATTTTCCCAAGCTCCAGAACTGGTTGGTCTGCTGCCACGATGCGGCCCACTGCTGCACAACAGCAAGCAGCATCATCCTCTCCACCATCTGTGCTAATGTTTCAGCAAGGCAGCAACCCAGCTCTTCAGAATCCTGGTGGAGGAAGGAACAGTAACAGCCAGCCTCATTGGTTCAGCAACAACAGCACTGCCGGAGCTAATGGGATTATGCAGATGGGTATTCATCCTGTGGAACAACCATCATTTCATGAGCCTGTGATTCCATTTATGAGTGTAGGTCAGAATGTGGTGCCGTCTTCATGCAAGAGCAGCTGCAGACTGTTTGGGTTCTCTTTGACTGATGAAAGGCGTGGTGGTGGCATGAACATGGAGGATAAGAGCAGCAATCATCAAATAGCTTCTCTTCCTGTTGCTAATCTTCTTCCTGAAGCTTCTGCCAGGAAGCAGTTCCATCCCACACCACCTGTGATAGCCAATGCTGTTGGGAGAAACTGTACTAATGTAACGTCTCGAAACCTCAATGTTTGTCATTTACGATCTCGTTTTCTGTCTAGTACGGACTGATGAGCTGGTCTTTGCTGTTGTTTGTTTATGCAGGGGACTCTGCCACAGTACTATCCCGAGAACTACCATATCTATTGACTTGAAGGTGAAAGAATGAATGTGATTGTGAAGAAAATGTCTTTGTTTGTGGGTTTGCTGTATATTGTTGTGAGCAGATTTCAGACTGTTAACTGCTGCTGTTGTTGCAACTTTGCTTGGTAGTTTGCTGTTGGTTGTAGTAGTCTTCGTACCCAGTTGAGAAAAGGCTAACACAATGTCCAATATTTAATGTATTGCTTATGTTTATTGGAGCTGGCTGAATCTTTTCAATTATTGGATTGGAACCTTGCTATATGCTTGATTGTGGTTCTAAAGTTAATTTTACAGTTGCGGATTCGAATTGATAGTTTGATCACCATCCACCCGTAAATAATCCGAAATGAACCAACAAAACTTCACAGTAAGCACACACGTAAATAATCCGAAATGAACAAACAAAACCACCCCGTAAATAATCCGAACTGAACGAACAAAACTTCACAGTAAGCACAAAAAGGCAGGTCCTACCGGGAGTCGAACCCAGGTCGCTGGATTCAAAGTCCAGAGTGCTAACCACTACACCATAGAACCTTGCTCAATGTTAATTATCCTTCAGATATGTATACATATAAATAATACGGTAACTTCAAAGTGAACAGACCAATATTGTGATCAAGCAAACCATTTGTACATGGCTTTAATCAATTGAGCTAGCATTTGGAAGATGGAAGAGAAGTAATGTACAAACGCGAGAATCAATCCTTTCACAGCCAAAATAGATTCTAAACAAGGCCCATTATTTTCCATATTGAGAAAACCCCATCATTATGCTTGGCTCAGTGGCTTTTACTGCAACAAAACCACTACATTTAGAAGCGGAGATATATCTAACAAAATGAAACTATAAATCGATCAATTCTACCACAAAAGATATAACCCAAAAGCAAAAAAGGGAATTATATCCTCAAAATCAACTCTAACCATTGCCCTGTTTCAAGAAACTCAGATAGAAATAGAGACAAAAGAGAAAGGAAGAGATCCCTCATTACAAGTCTTCTTTTTCTTCATTGTCCATACTGCAACTGCTGGGGAATGCAGAACAGCTTCTGCAGCAGAGGAAACAATCCCACCAACGCAATCTGCAGCTGTTCCGAGCTGTTCAGCCGCATGCTGATCTGCCCGGCACCTTTATTGTTCAAATTCGCGCGCGCTATCAAGTTCGTAGACCTCCCCACCGGAATCTGCGACTGCAGGTTGCAACCCACTGCAAGATCACCGTGCCAGTCCATGACCGAGATCCCCAGCGTCGACAACGAACGCCCCAATGGGTAGTCCTTATCTCTCAACTGCGCCTCCAGACTCCCACCATACGCTACGTCGTTACGTCCAGTCATGGCCCCACCGGACACGACCATCCTGAACCTCTTGTTCACAACCAGCTTGTCCTCGAACTTTGCTCCGGCAGACAATGCGTCCCCCAATAAGGTAACTGACATGCCAGCTGTTGCCTTATTTTTCTTGAAGCTTCCCAGCATTGTCTCTCCACGGAGGGTGTAGGCCAAGTCTTTTCCGACCGTCTGCATATCGAAACCCATCGAGGTGGCCTTCTTCTTCCCTTTACCGTGCTTTACTGAACTCGCTACCTCCATTTGCACATTGGCATCTTTCTTGTCCTTAGTCACCTGGCCAGAGAAGGACACTGGAATCTTCTCCTTTACTACAAAAAGCCTCTCGGCATTGATCCCATCATAACCGATATCATGATCCCAGCCATGAGAATCGAGAACCGGGCGTATGAACCATCTGTTTGAGTTGTCGAGAGAACGGTATCGGTGTGTAGGGTTATCGGAATCGAAAGAAGCAGGCAGGGCGAAATCTGGGAGAGGGACTGGGACAGAAGTTGCCGGTCCTCCTCCCCCTTCTTCTTCTTCTTCTCCTCCTCCGGCAATACTATCACTGTACTCAGCAGCCATTTGCTTCATCAACTTCCTTCTCCTCTTCTCTTCACTCAACTGCTTCTTCATGAAGAGCTTTTCTCTATATTCCAACTCCTCAAAGTAAGCCTTTTTCTGATCTTTAGTCAGCTTCTTGATCTGAGCTTTCGTCAAGCTTTTGAATGGCGGCAACAGATCGTACTCTGATTCCTCCTCTTCCAGCTCATCTTCATCGGAATCATCATCCTCACCACCGTCGTCCTCTGTCGGAAGCTTCACCTGAGGCCTCGACTGAAGGAGCGACGAGAGCAAGAACGGCAGAGGAGGAGGTCTTGATCGAGCCACATGAGGCTTCCCGGGTGGACTATCTTGCAACTTCAACAGTGCATTTGCCTCGGCAAGAATCTTGGACGCGAAGGAAAGAAGCAACAAGTGAGGTTTCCAAACCTGGCCATTCGGCAAGACCCTTTGCCCATTACGGTTCGTCCTGCAAGCCGAATGATTCTCCACCAATGAAACAGGGTTCATCAGTCGCATATCACCTGCAGCCTGACGAATCGCCTGCTGAACAATATGAGACCGCTGAGTAACAAACATATCATAGCTCGAGACAGTACCATTCGGACCCTCAGGTGGAGCAGAAGCCGCATGAGTCAGGACCACAATGGCATTGAACCAAATCGAGGGACCGAATATATCAGTTATGGTTCGTAACAATGGCATGTCTCCAAAATCCCTGCTCTGCATGTCCAAACGGTCGAGATACAACACAATATCTGGAGGCGTGTTCTTAATAAACTTCTTGACTGAATTTAGCATCTTCTCGTTCTGCCGCTGCTCGGACCATGAAGGGAGTAGTCCAGGCGTATCGATGACCTTCACCTTAATCCCCTGAACGGTTCCCACAACAGCTTGAACTTTTTGCGTTCCCGATTGAAAAGCATTTGTATCGAACTTTACCTCGTCGAATATAGAGTTGATCGTGGCACTTTTGCCGACCCCGGATTTTCCGAGAACCATAATGGTGCAAGAGAAGTCTAGTGGTTCCTGACCAACTGCCTCAAGCTGTTCGGCCATGGCGCTGGCACGATCAAAACTGAAAGCACCCACTCGGCCACCATTTCTGCCACGGAGCTGCTCGGCTAATCCGAGTCTGTACAAGACCTGGGCCACGACAACGTTGTGAGGTGTTTGGCCAAGCCTGTGTGCTAGACGGAGAAATTTCACCCTAATCATCTGAAGTTTCTCACGAGTTTCGTCAAACTCTTCTCCTTCGCCATTGCCAGACTCGTCGATCTGTTGGGATTGGGCATTGGAGGTGGTCCCGTTGACACGCTGCTGCTGCACAGGTCGCTGAGCAGGTTCGAGCAAAGGAGCAGCTCGGCCAAGGCCAGCTGGAGGCCCAGGTTTTTGAGAGGTGGAGGCGATCTTGGGTGGTGGAAGCTGAACTCCACGAACCCCATTTGAACGACGACCAGTCTCGATCTCCTGCTTCTCTTCTTTTTTATGAGCTTCAACATTTTTTCCTGATCCCTCTGCTATAACTGTTTTGATATCCCCTCCATTAGACATTTCTTCCACAACTGAAGGCTGAATAATTTCCTTTTGCTTCTCATCTTCGCGCTTCTCTGAAGTTGACGCAATTAAACTGTCAGGTGTAACTGCTGCTGCTTCTTTCACAGCAGCAGTTTCAAGAGGTACAGAAACTGATGGCTGAATAACTTCTTTTTTCTTCACATCCTCGTGCTTCTCTGAAGAAGTTAGGATTAAGCTGACAGGTGTATCTGCCGCTGCTTCTTTCAACACAGGTGATTCAAGAGGTACAGAAACAGGTGTACCTGCTTCTTCCAGAACCAGTTCTTCCACTGAACTCGGTGTAACGGCTACTTCCGGCACGGGAGTGTCGAAAACAACTGAAATATCTTTCACTTCCTCACAACTTGCTAAGGATTCAGCCGATTTGAGCTCCCCATTGCTGACAATATCTTCTTGATTTTCATCTGTATTGACCAGGGCCACACTTTTAACAGAATCAGTAACTGCAATATCATCATGATTCAGTTCCTCAACTTTGTCATCATCCCTAATTTCAGTATCCAATTTTCTGTCATTCTCATTCACTTCTTTGCCCTCGTCCACCCGAATCAATGATTCAACAACATCAACTACATCCTTGGTTTCCAAGTTTTCAGAAGGCAGGCCAGGGTCCTCATCCACTCGAATCAATGTATCAACAACATCAACTACATCCTTGGTATCCAGGTTTTCAGAAGGCAGGCCAGGGTCCTCTTCATTTTTCTCACTTTCCCCGGGCAGACGAATCTCATGGCTGAGTATAGTTTCCTCACAAGTAACCACAACCTTAGCTTCACCATTTGAAACCACACTCCATCCATTTTCATAAGTTGCAGACAGGGTGGTGTCTTCACTCGACTCGTTGATATCATGTTCCTTACTAGTCCCGCCCTCGTCAATTTTATCAATGCTCTCACCATCCAACAACACTTCCACCTTATCTTCAACAGACACTGATGGCACATCCTCTGAGTTCACAACCTCTAGAGGCTCATCAACTTTATCAATCCTCTCATCACCCAACAAAATTTCCACCTTATCTTCAACTACCACTGACGCCACATCCTCAGAGTTCTCACGCTCTTCAGGAACATTTACTTGCTCAATGCTCTCACCGCTCGAAGAAACTTCCACCTTATCCTCAACTGCCGCCTGAGTTGGAATCTCTAAGTTCACATCCTGTGCAAGAACACCGACTGCCTCCACGAATGTCTCCGCTTCATTTCCAGTTCCCAAATTCTCAACGCCCACCACCGAACTAGCATCATCAACAGCTTCCAACTCGGCCCTTATTCCTTCCTTTGGCAATTCCTCATGTGAATCAACCGCCTCCTCAAACACCTCATCTTCCAAAACCTTCAATTCAGAGGACTCGGCCACAGCAACCTTGCCACCCTTCGCCTTCTCCTCAACCACAGCATCCTTCTCTACTACCTCCATCAATTCATCTGAAGCTGCCACCACAACTCTCTCCTCTACTGCAACCTCCAAAGCCCCATTTCCCGCATTGGGTTTCTCTCCCAGCTCAGGCAAACCAACAACTCTCTCTACCTCATTTTCCATTCCAGCCACAAAAACCCTAGATTGAACCCAAAAAAAAAAAAAAACACAAAGTCAACAACAATCACCAAAACAAGCAAGAACCCAGATCACCCAATTCGACCAAGATAAACAACAAAGTTAAAAACAATCAACAAAGGATAGAATAAACAGAAGAAGGTTTGTGCCACCCCAATCCCCCACCGAACCGAGATTGAATAAAGGAAAACGAACCAAACGGATCTCACATAGAATACGACACCCTAAAACGCAAGCTCAGATCTCCAAGATCATTCCTTTTAGGGTTTTTGCAAGCAAGCCAGCAATAGGGAGCACGACGGGAAATGAAATTGAAGCGATTACAAATCCCTATGGAAAGTGATGGGGGGACGAAAAGGGCTCACCTGGTTATGTGGGCGCCAAGAGAAAGTAACTGATAAAAGGCCGAGCGAGATGGGATGAGATACACAGAAAAGGGAGAGCTGTGAATCATGCGTTAAATTTTCTTTTTAGCTCGATTCTAATATCTACCGGGCAGCGAATTTGCGGGATTTCGCTTTACCAGAGAGCGAGAGAGGGGAGAAGGAAGAGGACGATAAGATATTGGGGACGATTGATCTGACGGCTGACGATGGCGGACTGTTCATCAAAATCAACGCTCATGAGAGACGCCAAATCACATTTTCTCCTGCTGACGTGGATGTATAAAGTAGTGGGGCAGCAGCCACTGCACCAGTCCTGTTCCGATTTTTATATTTCTTTTGCGGCTAAATTACACATTTGGTTACTCAAATTACTTAAAATTTTCACGTTTGCCACTATAATTACTTTTCTGTCTTATTCGTCACTAATTTCATGAATCGTTTTCACCATTAGTCACTGAGCGTTAGTCTCCGTTATTTAGGGGCGGTTTTATAATTTTGCAACCCAAAAACCGTGTCCCCCACCCACACGGTTTTGGTTGTGCTTCTTGAAAACCGCCGCTGGAAGGGGGCGGTTCCTTCACCAAGACACGGACCGCTGAGTTGGCAAACGGTCTGCCGTCGGATCGCCTCCTAATCAGACGGTCACTAAAACCGCCTCCTCCCAAGGAGGTTTTGCTAGGGTTTAGCACAAACCGCCTCCTTGCAGCACAGTTTGCGTATAAACCGTCTCCCAAGGCAGCGGTTTTTAGAAAATAGTGTTAGAAGTGGAAATTTTTTTCATTAGGTGGTGTTTTTATAAATTTTTTTAACTGTGGTATTTTTGGATTTTCCCCCCTTTTGTATGGGTTGTTGCATTCCGGTTCATCCAGTCATTTTAACCTATTTGATTGCGAGGTAGGCATGAAACCAAGTGATGCTTTGTTTCGAGGGAACTCACACTCTATGGGTTCGAGGGGGTTGGAGAAAAACTCTGTCGAGTCGGATCAATTTCATGAAAGCTTGGACCAACGTGTCAAATGCCAATTAATCTAATCTAACTGTGCAAAAAATTTAAATTTCAACTTAAAACGAGTGAAAAATTGTTAAAAATTAAAATTTACCGAATGAAAGCTCTCTTGCCCTCTCCTATTCGAGATATACCCAATCCTATGCAATTGGAGTGGTCTTCGGAATGCATTATTCTTCACATGATCCTTTACCTTTCTAAAGTGAGTTTTTGCAATTTGAGCGGGGTCTTTGGAATACATTATTAACTTAGGCTTTACTAGACAAAATAACGTGGTTGGGAACTTGTGTTGCTGCTATTGCTGTAAATTGAAGATATCGAGTAGGTAAAGCTTCCTTTGTTGGATTTATTATCAGGGCTATGGCGGGAAGTTTGGTACCGATATTTGTGTTATAAACGCGCTGCTACGGATCGGGAAATCGCAGGAATCGACAAAGCAAGAATACGAAAGCGAGAATCGAAAACACGACACACGATTTACGTGGTTCACTAACACGATGTGTGTTAGCTACGTCCACGGGCGAGAGAGAGCCAATTTCACTATATCGAGGAGATTACAGATTACAGAGGAGTATGAGAAGTATTTATAGTACTTCTCCATGTGGGTCTAAACCTAATCCAATCTGGCAAAGGAAACGGTTATAGACCAGGCCCAGAACCCGAACCCAAATAACATTGAGCCCATAGATTCTAATTAAGTCACTCTCGTCTCAATTTTGAATTTCACAATTTAGAAGCCCCTATCCAACTCAATTTTGACTTTCCAATTTAAGTCACTCTCGTCTCTCACTTAATATCTTGTTATTTTCATAACACCAAAAGACAAACACTGGTATTAGTAGTCTCTGAGCCTCCAATTCGTCAAATAAAAGAATACCAATTGCAAGCATTTGAGATGTCACCTCTCCCTCCATCTTCTTATTCATATCCTAGTTCTAGGAAAACTCAAGACTCTTTGCTTAGTCTCTTTGCCATAAATTAAATAATCAAATCTATTTTATATATTTAATTATTGATTATCAAGGTAATTAATTTCGTATTCGATAATACCGAATGGGATACCGAAGTATCGATTGAGATATCGAAATATTTAGGGATTGGGATTGAGATACTAAAATTATTTAGGGAATGAGATACTGAAATTATTTAGGGATTGAGATTGAGTTTAGGGTGTAATTCGGTATTTGTAATTTTGGTATTTGGTATTGGGATATCGATACCGTACCGATTTCCACCCCATATCAGGGCTATGAATGGTCTGAATGAGAGGATAAATGGAAATGGGCCTATTAACACAAGGATTGAAGAGGACGCGAGGCCCATTGGACCTGGTCGAAGACCAAACTTCATCTGAACCGATTTTGTTTGCTTTTACATGGGGATAAGGTGTCAGAGCCCAACAACAGCGTGGAGTTTGATCCCGTCAAATCAACAGTATCATTTATAGCTGAAAAGTAAAACTGCACTCCCCATTCAAATTTTCCTGCCCATAGAGTGATTTTAGGAAGCTGATGTGGCAGGGTGTTAAGCGGGGAAAAAATATAACTCCCCGCCAGATTGCAGAACTAAGAAACCGTCCACTACCCACCTTTTCTCCTGGTTTCCCACGTCTATCTAGAGTATCATTTATAGTGGAAACATCAAACTGCCTACTCCATTCAAAAATCCCTATCCTTAGAGGGCTTTTTGCTCTCTCCATTTTGGAAACATTACAATGTTCCTTTCTCACCTGTAACCTATTCTCCCTTCCTGCAGCAACGGTGAACTCAACCAAGGATACCTTTCTCCCTGGGGACGACATGTATGAACCCTTTTTCGTTGTGGAAGAGAAGGATGACAGGGCAGGGGCTTTTCGGCTTCTTCTTTTCTTCTCTTCCCCAACGAATTGAAGGTCTAACGAAGGTTGACATGAGCGATTCCGATCTTCTTTTCCGGGAGGGTCATTCTGGACAGAGGAATAGGGTGAGGGTTGGAAGGTTTGGGGTTCGTTTATAGGGTGGGTCTGCGGTGAATTGAGGAGTTAACAGAGGCTGCTGACTCCGGTCTTCTTCTCTTCCTCTTTCCCCGTTTTTTTATATATTTGTGGATTTGCTTACTCTCCTCCTTATTGTTTTGTTGGACAGCAAAGACGACGAAGAAGAAGTATAAGGTTGCGGAGGAGGAGACAGGAGACGAAGGCGAAGAAAATGATGTTGATATTGTGCGAGTTTGCTGTGCATTACCTCCATGTCAACAAGTTTCATCATCGGCTGTCATCTGCTGCTAAAACATACTGCAAACCTCGACTTTAGCGGCGGTGGTTCAACTGGGCAATAGAGACAATTGTGTCATTAAAAAGGGCATCTATCAACGACTGTATGACTCCAATTTCACAAGACTGCTATGTTCTGTGCATTTTCCCTTCCTTTCCCATCAATAGTTACATCTTTTTGTTGGTTTGTATGGTCATTTGCTAAAAATAGAACTTAATCACAGTCAAGTTAAATCCTTTTTGAGATGTTTTTATGTGAGTTATGTTTTAGCTAAACTGATATGAGTTATTTTTTGCTGAACTGAAAAGGTATGGGGCACTAGAGAAGGTTGTTTCTGCTACAACTCAAAAACTCGCAACAATATCACCACTTCTGATGAAACCATAGCACTTGATTTCACTTACATGGTAGGCACTTGGACTTTATGTATATCCAGAAGAAAATCTGTTATTGAAGTTCACATCCAGAACATTCCCAACCTTTTATTTTGCTTGGACCATATAGTTGTTGTGGGTTGTCTACAGTGATGATAGTTAGGTTTTACGGTTAATTTTGTATACCGTCTTGCGTGGTTATTATTTTTCCTCTATGTTTCAATTAGATAACACCTTCTGCCTCTTCTATTCAGTAATACGGGATTGGAATTTCTATTCATGTTGTTTGGTTTCATCTCCATACCTTGAGTTCAAATTATAATTAGCCTTTCGTTGTCAAACTTAAAATAACAATCCAGTCTTCAGTTTTATGATACCCTCTATTTCAGTAGGTAGCAAATGTGCGCCAGGGGGTAATGGAATCAACCGAATCGATGACAGTATTTTGACAAGGCAGGCTCTCTCTCTCTTCAAATCGTTAGAACAAAAAAACTTGGATCCTCTTTGAATCGACAAACCCAGGTAGTTTCGTTTTGTTTACGATTTTACCTGTTTTTTGGTTGGAACATATTTTGGTGCTTTCTTACTGGTGAGTTCAGTTAGTTAACTCTCTCAAATGTTTTCTAGATGCTAGAGCTGCCTCTAAGATACTTGATCAGGTGTTCTTTTGGATATATAGCAGGTCTCACTGATTGAAGTTTTAAGATCCTAGAGGTATTTATTTAGCATATGAAAGGTTGAGTGAGGAAGTGTTTGGATATGTTGGATCTTTAGTAGTTGTTCCAGCTTATCGTTTTCGACTCTAAGAAATGCAGTGCACTTTCTTAGTTTCGTTTGAACTCTAGCTAGCAAAGTTGGTTAACAAATCGATTTTCACCTGACTATCGCTGCAATAGAAAGTGGTAGTGGAACGCGGTGGCTCATAGAGTGAATTATCACAGAACTATTGACATTTTTTGCCATGGTAGTTTACCATACCGATTAGTACTGCAATCTAGGTTAGTATGATGATGATGATGATGATGATGATGAGATCTCAATCATATCTGTGATTGGCCATATTTATGTAATTACTTTGATGGGTTGGTATATATGTAGAGTGAGATCAGAATTTAGCATGATAGCATTTGGGAAATTGCTGCAGGATTGGATAAGAAGTTTGGTATTGGACAGTGGTAGCTTTAGGTCTAGCGGATTTGGATTCATGGCATGACCTATGCTTGGAAGGCTGGGATACTTTTGGTATTGGTGATACAATCCGCGGGGCACGTACGGGTAAGCATCCTATCATCCATTCATCTTTATGTTGATTAAAAGTTGTTTACTTATTAAAGACTACAACTTTTGGAAATGGAGTCCAGAAGTGTGGTTTGATCATGTCAGAAGGGAACTGGATTCTGAGAAATCGTACAAGAACAGGGATAGGCCGAAATTCATAACTGAGGTTTTGTGTCAAATTACTTCAAGAATTTGGTAGGAATTTCACAAGCGTGGTTGTGATTTTTCTGCGATGGATCATCAAGAAGGAACTTATGGAGACACTCTGAGACCTTCCTAATGACGAAACGTGATTGTATTATGGTGGTTTCTTTGTGGTAGAATATGATGTTCTTTCTCTATTTCGGTTACTGTAAGCATGAATGAGAGGATGAACATGTTGTATACAAAGCATAAGAATGAGCCTTTTCCATAGCAGCCAGTGTTTTTCCTTCTAATTTTTTTTATTGTCGTGATTAATATTCTTGTCTTTGGCCCTAGCCACAAGCGTAAAACGTCAGAATATTGCTATACCAGTTGATTGACTTTGATTTCCCAGTGTATTTTTTCCCCTCCCCCGAGATGATTGGATTCTCTTGTGTTGCTTGGCCGCCTCCAGTTTCAATTCAAGAATCAGGTTATCTGAAGGAAGTATATCATATTTGTATGTAATCTTAACTGTGCTACTTATAAGTTTAGAAAGTGTGTATCTTCAATATGCTACGCTTCCCAATAGTTTATGTAGCTTTTGTTGCTCCACTGATAAAGCTAAGTTTTCTTTTGCTATTAAGTACTCCTAACATTAATTAAATATAACCCTTTGTAAAAAAATTATATTGCTTTCTAAACACTTCTACTTATCTAAGAACCTATAATCATTTGCTCACGAAATCATTGATACTGCAAATTTTAACAGCAAGAACATGTTCCGTTTCTTTTATGCCCTAATGTTATGTACACGGCAGGGGTTTTAACAATTCTTCATACCCTATCAGACCTTTCTAAGATGATGTTAGTCAAAGCCATTTTAGGCCGGACCGAATCGACATATCTTATTGTGCTCTTCGTCATTAGTATGTTTCCCCGCACTAATTTTGGTCGTTGGGGAGAATTGTTATATGTACCTGTTAGAGACTCGATACCCTTCGCCAGACTCTCCGGAATCCTCTCTCGAAAGGCGCCGATCTGCACACACTAACAAGGAGGGGGCGCCTCGGCCCGTTAATCCTCCGACGCCCAAGTTAGTTTCTTAGGACGGGAGAGATGTCTCAAAGCTAGAGTTTTTCCCAGAGAGTCCAACCTGCATAAATGCTACCAACTGCCTCTATTTATACTTACCTGAGTTCGAGGTTGATCCTCTCTGCCTCCCTGCCTTCATTCAATGCTTTTGTCTCTTTCTGGACAGACATCCTAACCACCTTGTCAGACTCATGGCACGTGACAGGCGCCCGCAGGCGCTGGACCACATGACAGCCTGTCCTCCCTTGGCCTCTTGTGCCTTGTCTTCATGTGGCATCCCCTTTACTTGGGCCTTGCCCCCCACTTGGGCTGTTTGGGAGCCCAAGTTTGCTTAGGCCTTGCCCCCCACTTGGGCTTTGCTCATTATACCCCCAACAATTGCCCCCCCAGCTAGGTGCTCATTGCTCTGCTGCTGAGCGCCTAGCTGATTCGGTGGTTGCCTTGTCCCTACTTAGGCGTCCGATTTCCTGGGCGCCTCAACCTTCCAGTAGTCCTTTTCGGACGCGGTGGTTGCCTTGTCCCTACTTAGGCGTCCGATTTCCTGGGCGCCTCGACCTTCCTGTAGTCCTTTTCGGACGCCGGATTTAAGGCGCCTCAACCCCTTATGCCCCCCTCATGGGTGGGCGTTTGATATTGACCCCATGTTTTCCTTGTTTGAATTTTGGACTTTTTTTTTTTGGCCAAAATTCCAATCAGAAAAGGAAAAGGTGGGGGGAAGCTCAAAAGCCCGCCCTTCACGATGACATGTGGCACGCTACACGCATCCACCCTCCTGCTCTTCCTTTCCTTTAAATACCCCCCTTCCCCATCAGTCCTTGTCACTTTCCACATTCTCGCCTCTCTCTAAGATTGTTGCTCTGACTTCTCTCTAGATTCTCTCTGACGTCTCTCTAGATTCTTCTGCTTTCGTCAGCTTTTCCGTCCATACGTCCAAGCATGACTTCGCAAGGAGACAAAGTTGTCGGCCAGGGCGCCTCCCCTGTTGGTGAAGAGACTAGGCCAGGCGCCTCTAACGCTGGCGGCGAGGCAAGGCGCCCCAGTCGAAGTGGTAAGGAATTTTCTCGCTCTACTAGTTGCGTTCCTTATTTTTATTCTAGTTCTCTAGGGTAGGGCGTCACTTACTCTGCGGCCATATTGCGCCTGGGTCGTTTATTGGTTTAGAGAGGGCGCCTGGGTCGACGTCCGCGGGTCCATCAAGCGCCTCCACCCCGGGCTTCATGCCCGCCGATGGATCTTACAAGATATCCGTGTGGGAGAACTCGTTTCCGCCTGATCATCTCCCGACGGAGACGGAGTCGTTGTCTTTCGACGTTGCGGGTCCACAGCACACCTCTACCGTCACCTTGGCTCGTGTTCATGAGCTAGTGACCAGCCTCCAACTGCCCCGTGATTGGTGGTATGCGCCTCCCTCCCCTATCGCACGAGTGGGCGTCTGTGGGCCTAAGTGGATAGGGGTGTATCAAGAGTACTTCCGCTTTGGGCTGCGGTTCCCCCTTGACCACATCATGGAGGGGATTATGACGACCTGTGGCTGCCCATTGGGGCGCCTGTCTCCTTCGGTGATCATGGTGGTCATCCTCTTCAAGCTGCGCTGCCGCGAGCATAACGTGGAGCCTACCTTCAATCTTTTCCGATATTTTTTCAAGATGGCGGCTCTAGATAACTGCTTGTCACTTCAGAAGAGGAAAGGGCGCCCTTATCATTTTGTAGAGAAGTGCCCGAAGTTGGGGCGCAGCTGGTTCAACGAATTTTTCTTCATGAAGGCATATCGGGACTCGTTTTTTGAGAGTGGGGCCGCCTTCTCGAGAGAGTGGGCGCTGGGGAGTGTGGAGGAGTTCAACAAAGACGTGAAGTTGTCTCCAACAGAAAAGGCAGGCGCCCCGCTGATTTGCGAGACGCGCGTAAATTTGCGCAAGACCGTGAATCGTCCTCCTATTTTGGAGGCGTATTATGATGATGGTCCGTAGGCGCCCATATGTTGTGCTAACGTTTTTCTTGCCTTGTCCTGTTGTCGATGAATGTTTGCTTTGGTGCTAACTCATTTAACGATGTGCAGGATCAGACTTCACCAGCATCGCGAAGCTCATGAAGAGCCGCCTTGCTGCCATGGCTGGGGGAGCGCCCCCACCACCAAGGCCCAAGGCGCCTGTTCCGGCTGCGCGGAATCGCAGGCGCCTACTGCTGCCCCAAAGAAAAAGAAGAAGAGGGCAGTGAAGGGGGGTACCACGAAGACTGCCAGCGTGGCCTCTTCAGCACCGGAGGAGGAGGAGGAGGCGCCGCACGTAGAGGCGCCCACTACAGAGCCTGCGGAGCAGGAGGGGAATTCCGGGGAAGAGGAGCCCGAGCCCCTAGTTAGACGGGGGAAGCGGGCTGGGTCCCCCTTGGGCAATGTCAGCAAGAAGGCTGACAAGGGGAAGGAGAAGATGGGCGCCGGCGCCCGAAGTGGGGGAGGGGGCGCCTTCGAGTATCATCTTACCGAAGAGGGGCAGTGGGTAGGCCCCGATGGGCGCCCCCCCATTTTCCAGCCCACACGCGCCGATGTTGGGCGCATTGAGCTGCCATGCTCCCCGCTGGTAGCTGTTGACCGAGGCTGTGCCATGGGCATGGCAATTACGGCTGCCAAAATGTGGCAAGTGCCGTCGGAGGTGAACGGGGATCACCTATTTGCTGAATTGGCGAAAGTGGGCGCCAAGGTACGTTCACCGTTATTTGTGTTCTTGATTGTTGGGTTTTGTTAAACTTTGCACAAGTACTAACTCTTTGTGTTTTGTGTGTGTAGATTCTTCTCTTTGCTGAGAGAGGCGCCCGGCGCCTAAATGAAACAAAAAGAGAGGCGCTCGAAGCCTCTTCTTCGGCCTCCCAGTTGCAGCGCGACCTTGATAACGCGACGGAGCGTCGTGAGCAACTTGTGAAGGAGTGCGACGAGGCGCAAATGAATGCGGCCTTGCAAGTGTCGCAACTTCAGGGCGCCCTCGACGAGGAGCGCAATAAGTCAGCCACCCTTGAAGCTGAGAAGGAGGCACTGGCGCAGGGGGCGGGCGCCCAGGCCAGCGAGATTAACATCCTCAAAGAGGAGAAGAAGAAGTGGCAGGACGCCTACAAGGAGTGCAAGAAGGAGCTGAAGGAGGCGCGGAAGGAGATCACCAATTTGCGCCACTCTCTGGACACCTTCGAGGAGTCCGAGACTGGGAGGAACATGAGTGCCAGTGCTATCTTGTCTGGCCTGCAGATCTTCCACGGCAAACTGGTGAAGGATCACCCTGATCTTACTTGGGATTTTACTGAAATCGCCGAGTATGTGATTGGGGAGTTGGAGACTCCACCGGACACGGGGAATGCGCCCCAATCAGCCAATGTGGAGGAGCCTCCACATGACTCTGTTCCTGTCTCTCCTTCCCCTAAGGCGCCTAGCGCAGGTGATGCCAACTCAGGCGCTGAGTGAGTGTAGATGGGCGTCCCGTTTTCCTCAGTATTTTTTTTTCGGATAATAAAAATGTTCTTCTTGGATATTGCGACCATACTTGTGTTTATTTACGTATCGAGTTATCGTTGTGTTTGGGCGCGAATAGTGTGGGCGCTTTTAAACTTCGGAGGCCAATTTCCTTTATCACTGATTGCTATGTCTCGAGGGCGCAAATGTGGGCGCATTGATTGTTCTGATGTTGGGCGCAGAATAGAGGGCGCTTTGGCTTTGACGGGCGCAAACTTGGGCGCTTTACTTACTCACGTACCAACTAACAATCCTACGATAGGGCGCAATTTTAGGGCGCTTTGTACTTCACAAAATTTCCGGGCGCGAATTTAGGGCGCTTTTACTAAGTCTCAAACGAGCGCTGCAACACGGGGCGCTTTTGGACACAACACGGCGCTACTTTTACGAGCGCTTTTGAACACAACACGGCGCCTTACACAACTGTCTCTAACACTAACAATGCTCTTGCCTACGACCATCCTTTGCCTTCTTGGCCCTTATCGAACGGAGGCGCCCTCATGGTAAGCCCGCAGGTTCTGCGCATTCCAAGTTCGTTTCACGCATTTGCCGCTGGTATGCTCTAGCTTGAACGTACTTGGTCCCACCACCTCTCGAACTCGGTATGGCCCTTTCCATTTTGGTGCTAACTTCCCTTCACGGGCATCTGGGCGGAAGTCACGCTTGAGAACTAGGGCGCCCTCGGTGATTCCATGCGCCCGCATTTTCTTGTTGTAGTACCGAGCCACTTGGCGCTTCATTTTCTCCAGCCGGATGGCCGCTACTTCCCTCACCTCATCTGTCATGTCTAGTTCATCGATTCTTGCTTTGCCATTGCTGCTTGGGTCATACTGGCCAACGCGGTAGCTTGGGGTGTTGACTTCCACCGGGATGACCGCCTCACTTCCGTAAGTTAGGGCGAAGGGTGTTTCTCCCGTGGCTGTTTTGTAGGTTGTGCGATGCGCCCACAGTACGCTTGGTAGTTCTTCCACCCACTTGCCCTTGGCGCCTGCTAATCGGGTGTGCAACCCGTGGAGAATACTCTTGTTGGCTGCTTCCGCTTGGCCATTTGC